GACCTCCTTTTCTGGAGAAGATAAATGCTATTTGGATAAAGTGCTCATTACAAACTGTGGGGGAGATTTACACAGAATGAAATGTGGATTCATGTCTTTTCCATGTGCTGATCTCTGGGTTGTCATCACCTTCCCCTGCTGTCCTTGTGCCCCATCCTGGAATTGTCTTCAGGGAGCCAGACCCTGGTCCTGGCGAGGGAGCAAAGCCCCCACTGCAGAGGAGCAGAGGGGCAGGAGTGGAGAAGAGAAAGAAATTCCACAAAAGATCTGTTTCTGAGCTGGAAATGTCAGCACTCGCTGCTGTGCCGTGCCCAGAAAAGCTTTGCAGCCAGAAATAGACGTTCTCCTGCCTGAGGAAAGGGCTGAGAAGGGAAATTCCAGGCACACGCCTTCCTCTGGCCTGGGGCACTGCAGCTCCAAACGCCACAGGTGTGATACCCGCTCCACAGCGTTATTCCCTGCGCCCTTCCTGGGGACCAAGGTGTGGATACACCGACAGGAATTGTGCACGCTGTGTTTTGGGGGTCAGGCAGACGGCTCGAAGGAAGTTCATCCCCAGTGTGAGGGGAAGGTCCATCTGGATGAGAGCTGTTATCCCTGGATGCAGCTGGCTTCCTGCAAGGATAAACATGAAAAGCTAAGCAAGGTTTTGCTTCTTTTTGCAGCTTCTGTGATGACAGGGCTTTTCTAGCTCCAAAATATTCGGAATATTTGGAACTGTCCTCTGTGCAGCAGGGGCCGCTGCTCTCCCCCTCCTGGAAGGTGCAGGCAGTGTGTGAACCGTGGCTGGGTTCCTGGGTAGCTCAGCACAGCCGGTGCCAGAGACATCCAGGAGCTGTAGATCCCCTGTCCCTGAGCTGTGGTGTGTGCATGGTGAGTCCTGCGGCAGCAGGGAGGAGGTGACAGCGGTGCCAAGGACAGCCAGTCCAGCTGCTGCCTGTGTGGGCTGCATCTCACTGTGTGCATGGAAACTGCTGCCAGGTGTTTTTAAACAGCTCAGCATCCTCCCTGCTCTGCAGAGATGCGTTTGCTGACTGTGCCAGGCAGCGTTCGGCAGGCAGAGCCTCCGGTGTGACTGCCCAAGTCAGGTTATCTCCTCGGCGGTGATTTGCAGCCGGTGCTGCTGCCAGGCTGGGTCAGGTGCCAAGCTGGAAAATGCCACTCGAGGCTTTTTCTTAATTGCTCATCAGGAACAGCAAGTGGAGGCAGCGGGCTCTGCCCCTGCACAGCTCTGGGATCCTCCTGCCCCAGCCCCAAGGCAAAGCTCAGCGGGCAGCGAGGTTCAGTCCTGCTGATCCTGCTGCTGCCGGCTCCTTCCCGGGGGGTGGGAGTGGGGGGACCTGGCTGGGTGTAGTGTGTGTGTGAGGGGTTGTGTGTGTGTGTGTGTGTGTGTGTCTGTGTGTTTGTCTCTGTGTTTGTCTGTGTGTGTTTGTCTCTGTGTGTGTGTGTTTTTCTCTGTGTGTGTGTGTGTGTCTCTGTGTGTGTGTGTGTGTGTCTGTGTGTTTGTCTCTGTGTTTGTCTGTGTGTGTTTGTCTCTGTGTGTGTGTGTTTTTCTCTGTGTGTGTGTGTGTGTCTCTGTGTGTGTGTGTGTGTGTCTGTGTGTTTGTCTCTGTGTTTGTCTGTGTGTGTTTGTCTCTGTGTGTGTGTGTTTTTCTCTGTGTGTGTGTGTGTGTCTCTGTGTGTGTGTGTGTGTGTCTGTGTGTTTGTCTCTGTGTTTGTCTGTGTGTGTTTGTCTCTGTGTGTGTGTGTTTTTCTCTGTGTGTGTGTGTGTGTCTCTGTGTGTGTGTGTGTGTGTCTGTGTGTTTGTCTCTGTGTTTGTCTGTGTGTGTTTGTCTCTGTGTGTGTGTGTTTTTCTCTGTGTGTGTGTGTGTGTCTCTGTGTGTGTGTGTGTGTGTCTGTGTGTTTGTCTCTGTGTTTGTCTGTGTGTGTTTGTCTCTGTGTGTGTGTGTTTTTCTCTGTGTGTGTGTGTGTGTCTCTGTGTGTGTGTGTGTGTGTCTGTGTGTTTGTCTCTGTGTTTGTCTGTGTGTGTTTGTCTCTGTGTGTGTGTGTTTTTCTCTGTGTGTGTGTGTGTGTCTCTGTGTGTGTGTGTGTGTGTCTGTGTGTTTGTCTCTGTGTTTGTCTGTGTGTGTTTGTCTCTGTGTGTGTGTGTTTTTCTCTGTGTGTGTGTGTGTGTCTCTGTGTGTGTGTGTGTGTGTCTGTGTGTTTGTCTCTGTGTTTGTCTGTGTGTGTTTGTCTCTGTGTGTGTGTGTTTTTCTCTGTGTGTGTGTGTGTGTCTCTGTGTGTGTGTGTGTGTGTCTGTGTGTTTGTCTCTGTGTTTGTCTGTGTGTGTTTGTCTCTGTGTGTGTGTGTTTTTCTCTGTGTGTGTGTGTGTGTCTCTGTGTGTGTGTGTGTGTGTCTGTGTGTTTGTCTCTGTGTTTGTCTGTGTGTGTTTGTCTCTGTGTGTGTGTGTTTTTCTCTGTGTGTGTGTGTGTGTCTCTGTGTGTGTGTGTGTGTGTCTGTGTGTTTGTCTCTGTGTTTGTCTGTGTGTGTTTGTCTCTGTGTGTGTGTGTTTTTCTCTGTGTGTGTGTGTGTGTCTCTGTGTGTGTGTGTGTGTGTGTGTGTGTGCAGCCTGCACAAGGACAGTTCCCGAGCATTTCCTGCACTCGTGTGTCCCAGTTCCCTCAGCCAGCGAGTGGAGCTGTAGGAGTCAGCCTGCCACCCTCAGCCGCTGCTGCTGCTGCCGCTCCTGCTGCCTTTCCTTCCCCCGTGAGGGAAAAGGAAAGCTTTCCCTGGCAGAGCTGCTCAGCTGCTCACAGCACGGCGATGCCGTCGCTCCTGCTGCTCCTGGGGTTCCCTGGGAGCTGGGAAGGGGAAGCGGGAGCAGGAGGAGGAGGAGGATGAGGTCAGGCTGCCTCACGTTGCTGCAGCGCTGCTCATGCTGGAGATGTAAAATTCATCTGCAGAAATCATCTCTGCCGCTTTGAAACAGGGAAGTGGGCTGTGCTCTGCTCACGGCAGCCATGGGCAACAGGGGGCTGAGCTTCTGCTTTTGCTTCAGACTCACGGTTTTTGGCTAAGCTTCAGTAACAGTCACGCAGTCCCCTCTTGCTGGGTGTCCTCTGCACAGCAGCAGGGGGATGTGCAGGGTCCCTTGTCCCCAGGGTCTGGGGACTGGGGATGGTGTGTGGTTCCCTGGGGCCCAGGTGCTTCTCCTGCACTGGGAAATGGCAGCACCTCAGCTTTGGTTCACCCAGAGAAATCTTTGGAGAAGTTTAGAAGTATTGCAGAAAAGAGATTTTGTTTTCAAGAGGATGGGCAGTAAAAACACACAAGAGGGACACACATAATCAGGACACCAAGAGAGGGAAGCTTGGGAGAAAGGATCCCTGCAGGGAGGTTATTTGAGATGCTCAACGGTGAAGAATGAGCCCTTTGAAGCTTCTGCCAGGGGCTGGTGACAGAGGCAGCCAGACCAGATGGATGGGTCTGCTCTGGCCCAGGGGCCTCTCTGGCCATGCAGAGGCATTCCCAGCTCCCAGAGCTGGCTGATGATTCCCAGGGAAGCACCAAGCCCTGGGCTCAGTCTGCCGGGGGAGCTCTTGGTGTGCTCGGGGGCGGGCCAGCAGCTCTGCTCTGCAAGGGGCCAGGTTTGTTTCCCGGCAGGATGTCTGCAGTTCCCGAGGTCATCCCTGGGACCTGTCTCTGGGATCGGGATAAAGCAGTCAGGGCTCCAGGGAGCTGCCGAGTGTCCCCAGTCAGCAATGGCAGTGCCGTGACAGATCTGCTGCCAGAGGCCTGCACACTGCTCACAGCGCTGCCGGTGCAGGGGTCAGTAATGTTATCCTCCTGTCTCGAGCAAATGTGTGGGAGGTGATGAATTTGGGAGTGGGAGCCCTCGTTAGGGGAGAAGTTCCTGAGGGAAAGTTCCCGAGGCAGTCCAGCAAGGTTGTTTTCTGTGGAAACTGCTGGCTGTTATTTTTAAACAATAATAGTTTAATAAATAAATAAACTTGCTGCCACGGAAGGATGTAAGTCAGCTAGGGGCCGGTAAAATGGAGAGGACAGGTGTTCCCCTCCCGTCTGCCCCTGCCCCCCGTGCTCTGCTCCTCAGCTCTGGGAAATGCCCTTCCTTGGGCTCACCCAGAGGGCTGAACCTTCCCGGTGGGGCCGAGTGTTCCCGGGCCAAGTGAGGATTCCTGGGAGCTGCGTGCCCCCGGGGCAGCTCCCCGCCCGCCTGGGCTCTCCTCCGGCACGTCCAGAGCGGAAAGAATCCGTGTCCTGCCGGCTCTGTGACAGCACACGTGCAACCAAATAAATGCGGGATAAACTGCCGGGATCCGGTTCCGCAGCCCCCTGCCCTCGCACCTGGGGGTCTCTGGGGGGAGGAGGGCAGGGCGGCCCGAGGGGTGACAGCCACGTGTCCCGGCCCCGCCTTTGGGCACAAATAGGTGACTTTGGGAGCTCGCTTAGGAAAGAGCAGCAGCGGCGGTGACCTTGGGCCGGGAGAGCCGGGGAGCCCGCATCCATCCCCGCGGCCGGGGGCGGGCGGTGCCGGGGTGCTGTGGGGGTGCTGTGGGTGCTGTGGGTGCTGTGGGTGCTGTGGGAGCTGTGGGTGCTGTGGGAGCTGTGGGAGCTGTGGGTGCTGTGGGAGCTGTGGGAGCTGTGGGTGCTGTGGGTGCTGTGGGA